TCGATTATTCTCTTTTGATGAATTAAAAACAAAGTTTGATTTACCAAATAATGAATTGTTTAACTATATTCAAATACATAGCTTTTTAAAAGAACATGTTATGCATGCAAATAATGAAATAGGCAATTTATTAAGTAAAATATTAAAAGTATATGGAAATAAGACAATTTGTTCAAAAGAGTTAGTTAAAAATGAAACCTGAGATCCCCTCACCCTCAATCTATTGGAAACACAAGTTAAAATGTTATATAGATTGTATCTAGTTCCTACTAGATCGATCAGGATCTCTCAGACTAATCCCGCTACATGTTGGAGATGTATACAATCAGAGGGTAATATGGAACATATTTGGTGGAGTTGCCCTAGGATTATAAAAATCTGGAACTATACTTTTGATACAGTTACAGATTTAACTGGTATAACATTAGATAAGAAACTGGAAGTAGCACTGTTACATTTAAATTGGCAGCAACAGTCTAAACCCAATGTTACTTTAATATGACATTGTTTTATGGCAACTAAAGTCCTTATTGCCAGACACTGGAAATGAATAGAAGTCCCATCTAAAGATCACTTTATAAATCAACTTCTTTATCAGCTTGGTGTGGAAAAAGGGATCAATATATTAAACCCAAGAACAAACTGTAAGCAGACGGTGAAATATGAATATTATATAAATTTGGTTAAGAACTACCATAACAGGCTACCTACCGGATTAAATTTAGATCCATAAACATTAGAGTATTACATGATAAACAAGGAATGGTGTTGCCACAGTCTTGACGTCTAGTTTAAAGGGGCAACTAAAGATACCAAATTTCTGTATTTATAACATGATAAATACTCCCTTTTGTAGTATGAATGTATTTGTTGTAGATACATGTTTGTATTTAATGTACTTCTCTTATGTATTTTATTTACTGGAAAACAAATAAAGACTACTAAAATAAAAAAAATTAAATGGAGGAGAACAAAGGCACTCATTGTACCATAACACTACAATGAACTGTAGTTGTTATGGTGCCTGGAGGGTTCATCCTAGGTCAAAATAGCAAAGCAGGAAAAATTCTCCAAATCACATGTGCTTCCAGTTTGGCAGTTTTGGCCTTAAATGTGAAATTCACTTTGAATTCTGATGATTCTCAGAAAAATAATAGAAAAATAAATTCAGGCCAGGCATTTGACCCCTTCAGGACCAGAGCTGTTTTAACACTTTTTTTGGTGTTTGTGTTTAGCTGTAATTTTCCTCTCTCTCATTTACTGTTTCCATACAATTTATATATTGGGTTTTTCAGGACAAGAAGGGCTTTCTTTACATACCATTATTTGTATCATGTCATAAAAAATAAATAAAATATGGTGAAAAATTGAAAAAAAAAGAAAAAAAAATGCTAAATAGATTAAAAATTTTGTCCTGAGTTTAAAAATAACAAGTGTTTACATGCTTTTTTTGTGCAAGTTATAGGGCTATAAGTACAAGTGTTTTGGCCAGTGTTTGTGACTAAGAAGCCACTGAAAAAGACTGAACATACCCCATTTGCAATGCCTTGGGTTGTCTTCTTTTGCAAATGGTATGCCATCATGGGGGTAATTCTTATTCTTGGGCTACTATCCGCTCTCAAAGGCAACATAACCAACCTGGCAATTTTCAATGTAAAAAAAATTGACCCTTATATTTGACCCTGTAAACACTATAAAACATGTTCACGGGGTGTACTGTTATACTCAGGAGACTTTTGCTGAACACAAATATTAGTGTTTCAAAACAGTAAAACGTATCACAACAATTATATCATCAGTCAAAGTACCGTTTGTGTGTGAATGGATGGGTAGTTTTCGTGGATGGTCAGTGTGATGGGTGCATGGTCTGACCATGTTATGAGGCCTACTGTGGCCATCAGAACTCTGTTGATGCATTTGGTGGGTATCAGGAACCTATCAATCCTTGTGTTGTGCACTGCAGAATGAAAAGTGTAGTCTATGTCTGTGGGATGGAGTATCCTCCAAGGGTCTACGAAATTGTGGCTCAAGATAGTGTCTGATATTTTGAAAGCTAAGGTTCTTTGTTGTCTGCCTGTCCTTGCATGGACCAAAAGGTTTGAGGAGTAGAGGCGTTTAAGAAGAAGTTGGTGTCACCCCCCTTATGACGTCCCCGAATCAGTACAGTGAGAGCAGGCTAAATATCTTAAAAAGGAACTTGTGCTGATTTTCATTAGGTTTCATTATTTACTAGTGTGTATGGGGGCGTTATTAATATAGCATTGGATGAACAAATATCTGCCTTGTTTATCGTCTATTTTTCTGACCAGTGTGAAGGAAACATGTCTACTAATCAGCAAAGATGCCCCTTGATTTTTAGTTTTGAAGCAGAAGTGGAAGTCGTGAGGGAAGAATGCGGAATTAAATTTAGGTCTGCTTTCCCACTTGAAGTGGGTTTCTTGAAAAAAGGTTTTCCTCGCCTCTGCTAAAGCTAGTCACCTCTTGTGGGGTGAGTTTAGACCTTTAGTGATAGTATTGTAAGGGTCATTGGATATACGTGAGTGAGTTTGCTATTCTATTTAGGGTGCCTCTTTTCGGGCTTCCCCTCCTCTCACCCACCCCCGACCCCAACAACACGGTTTTGTCCATGGTTTGAGCTTTCGGAAGCGGTGAGGTTGGTAAGGTAGTTGTGTTGTGTGCATGGTGCGTCACATGAGGAGTGGAGGTTGTGGTTTGATCTAGGTTACTATGGACCTGGATCACACAAAATGAATGTGGCTTGTGCGGACAGAGCCCGGTATGTGAGCATTGTGGTACATGAGTAAGTGTTAAGTAGAGGTTTTTGCTATAACAAATAAACAATAGAAGGGGCTGTCAGAGATGGTACGTGATCGTACAGACAGCATGTATAAGGCTATGGTTAGCCTATTGGGGGGTTGGTTGTCTGCCTGCAGGAGACTTATGCCTTGGGTTGAGAGGCCATGGAGTATGCGCCTGCGTAACATGTTTTCTGCTTGAGGGCGCCCGCTGAGAGCCAGTGAACAGTGTAATTTAGATTAAAGCATTCAATTTAAATCAAAACGTGTGAAGAAAACATAGTAGTATATAAAATAAAAAGGATACTTTAATAAACTATGACATGCTGTAGCGCGAAGGCAAGATAACAGTGGCCCTAATCCGTGACAATTAGATGAGGAATTATTTATATTTTCTAATAATATATATATACACAATATATATATTGTTATTATATATATTATATATATATATATACTTGTGTAATTTAATTCTGATTGTATTTTTATATATTTTATATATTGTATATACATATATTAATATAAAAATACACTTAGTGTGACATTATATACATATTTAAATTATATAGACATATATTATAAATATAACATATGTCTATATATCTTTTATATATATATATTAACTTGTCCCCCCCCTTTTCTCACTTCTGTACCTCCTCCACCGTGGATGGTGAGGCAAGAGCTTCAATGTCGGTGGCCTGCAATTTGGGAACGTCTATGGACTGTAAGAAATCAGTGATGGAGTGGGGAGGGGGTCATGTTGTGTAGTGTGGGGCATTGTTAGCTGTAGAAGTGGTGTTCCAGTCTCTGGCAATCCATGCCGTGGAATGGTGGGGTGGTCTCTGCGCCATATTACTGGTTTTTGCAGGGATAGGAATGTTCTATTTCCGGAGCATTCTGTGGCCCTCGTCTATTGTGAGTAAGTATTTTTCTGCACCATTGCGTCGTATCATCAATCTGGTTGGGAATCCCCATCGATATATGATGCAAGGTTCTATCAGGGCTGCTGTTATGGGTGTCAGGGTTTTCCTCTTGAGGAGTGTGGCAGCGGAGAGGTCGGTATAGAGCTTTAAATTTTGCCCGGCAGGTCTGGAAGGAGTCTGGAGGCTCTCATGACTTTGTCTTTGGATGTGAAGTAGTGGAACTTCGCTATGACGTCACGTGGGAGAGATGTTGGTAGGTTCCTCGGTCGCGGAAGATGGTGTATCCTATCCACCAGGAGATCTTGCGGGGACAGATCTGGTGACAATATGTGGAAGAGGTCTGCAGCAAATAAAGGCAGGTCTTGGGGGGGTTATATCTTCAGGGATACCCCTTAATCGCACATTGCTCTTCCTGTCTTGGTCCTCATGGTCTGCCACTTTGTACGTGAGGAGGTCAAGTCTGGCTGTGATGTCTGTGTATGTATCAGCCAAGGTGTTATGGGCACTGATAATTTCGTCAGTCTTGTCTTCATTATGTGCAGTGCACTCACCTATAGCCAGGGCCGGTGCAAGGATTTTTGCCGCCCTAGGCAAAAGAAAGATTTGTCCGAAACATCGCAATGCCCCACCCATATGAACTAATGCCAGTGCTGCACACAGTGTGTGTTTACATTAAAAAGCCTGCAGGGACAAACTATAGACTCCAGAACAACTTTATTAAGCTGCAGTGGTTCTGGGGACTATAGTGTCCATTTAATGTGAGGTAAATTAGAGATTAGTGTCACTAATAATATACTAGATTGCCTACTTACAATCAGATGAGGATGGTGATGGGCTCTGGCTGCAGTCTGGCTCCACTGGTCTGGTGTAGAATAGGATCTCTGGAGGCTGTTTGCAACTGTGGTCACAAAATTCAATGTTCTGGGAGAACGGGAAGCAGCTCCATTTTTGGGGGCCTCTTACATAGCTCATCTGGGCCCCAGGGCCTGACGGTGAGTATGCCCATAAAGCCCACCCATAAGGCCACCTACATGTTCCACCCATGAACTCACAGGGAGTAGAGTGTGTAGGGGATGTGTTATGTGTTATGTGTTACTGTAGAGGATCTAATGTGTGTGCTTACGGAATGTAGTGTATAGGGATACCAGTTTGTGTAGGTGATGCAGTGTTGTTTGTGTAAGGCATAGAAAGCAGTGAGTGTTTGTGTATAAGGGATGTATTGTGTGTTTCTTGTTGTGTGTTAGGGATGCATTGTGTGAATCTGTGTTTGTATGCATAAGGGATGCAAAGTATGTTTCTGTGTATGTAAGGGATGCAGTGTGTGTGTCTGTAAGGGGTGTGTTGAGTGTGTGTAAGGGATGCATTGTGTGTGTTCTGTGTATATGTGCAAAGGATGCATTGTCTTTATGTGTAAGGGTTGCATTGTGTGTTTCTCTGTGTGTAAGGGAAGCATGTTGTGTTTGTGTGTGTATAGGGATGCATTGTGTGTGTGTGTGTGTGTGCGCGTGTGGTGTGAAAGAGCTCCCTGTCCCCCTGTCCTATAGAGCTCTCCCTTCCATTCCTTAGAGATCTCCCCTGCCCCTTAGTGGTCTCTCCTCACCCCCCCCACCTCCCTTAGTGGTCTCCTTTTCTCCCCGACTTTCCACTAGTAGTCTCTCCTCCCTCCTCCCATCTCCCCCATCATCATCATCTCCCCCCATCAATCATCTCCCCCATCAATCATCTCCCCCCTCCCATCTCTCCCCCCATCATCATCTCCCCCCCATCAATCATCTCCCCCCCATCATCTCCTCCCCCTCCCTCCCTCCCAGCAGCTTCTCCGTGTGCACTTCCTGTCAGTCCGGCCGGGTCGCGGACCGGAAAGGAGCTCGGCCACGCTACAGCAGGGCAGGGGAGGTGAGGCACTGCGGCAGCCGCCTGAGCGCTCTCTATAGAGCGCTCAGGCGGCTGCAGAATTTAAAGGGCCGGCGATGGGGGCGCATGGCGCCCCCTCCTATATGGCGCCCTAGGCGGCTGCCTAGTTCGCCTTATAGGAAGTGCCGGCCCTGAGCACTGTCACACTCATTCTCCATCACTTTCACACTCACCCTATAACATTAACCCCTTCAATTCTGTCATATTCATCCCCCAAAACCATGCCACACTCAACCTATGGGGCATGAATGAGACACATGGAGGGGCTGGGGGTGTGAATGTGACACATGAAGGGACTAGGGAGACCCTAGGGAAATTTTCGCACCAGGGCCCCGTGGTTACGCCTCTCTGTGTGTATGTATGTCTTTGTATGCCTGTCCCCATATGTCTCTGTATGTCACTATATCAGTGTATGTCTCTGCATGCCTGTATATCTGTGTATGTGTGTCTCTGCATGCCTGTATTTCTCTGTATACATTGTTCTGTATGTCACTGTATTCCTGTGTCTTTGTCTCTGTATGGCTGTGTCTCTTTCTCTGTATGTCTGTGTCTGTATGATTGTATGTCTGTGTTTGTATGACAGTATACCTGTATGTGTAGATTGTATGACTGTGTTTGATTGTGTGCCTGCATATCTCTATGACTGTGTGCCTGTATGGTTGTGTGTGTTGCTATTTATCTACAGTGCCTTGCAAAAGTATTCACACCCCTTGACTTTTTACCTATTTTGTTACATTACAGCCTTAAGTTCAATGTTTTATTAATCTGAATTTTATGTAATGGATCAGAACACAATAGTTTGAGTTGTTGAAGTGAAATGAGAAAAATATATACATAAAACTATTTTTTAGAAATAGAAAACTGGAAATTGGCATGTGCGTATGTATTCACCCCCTTTGTTATGAAGCCCATAAAAAGCTCTGGTGCAACCAATTACCTTCAGAAGTCACATAATTAGTGAAATGATGTCCACCTGTGTGCAATCTAAGTGTCACATAAACTGTCATTACATATACACACCTTTTTTGAGAGGCCCCAGAGGCTGCAACACCTAAGCAAGAGGCACCACTAACCAAACACTGCCATGAAGACCAAGGAACTCTCCAAACAAGTAAGGGACAATGTTGTTGAGAAGTACAAGTCAGGGTTAGGTTATAAAAAAATATCCAAATCTGTGATGATCCCCAGGAGCACCATCAAATCTATCATGACCAAATGGAAAAAACATGGCACAACAGCAAACCTGCCAAGAGACAGCCGCCCACCAAAACTCACGGACCAGGCAAGGAGGGCTTTAGTCAGAGAGGCAGCTCAGAGACATAAGGTAACCCTGGTGGAGCTGCAAAGTTCCACAGCACAGACTGGAGTATCTGTACATAGGACGACAATAAGCCGTACGCTCCATAGAGTTGGGCTTTATGGCAGAGTTGCCATTACTTTCAGCAAAAAATGAAATAACATGTTTTGAGTTTGCCAAAAGGCATGTGGGAGACTCCCAAAATGTATGGAGGAAGGTGCTCTGGTCTGATGAGACTAAAATTTAACTTTTCAGCCATCAAAGAAAACGCTATGTCTGGCGCAAACCCAACACATCACATCATCCAAAGAACACCAGCAGCTGGGACTGGGAAACTGGTCAGAGTTGAGGGAAAGATGGATGGTGCTAAATACAGGGATATTCTTGAGCAAAACCTATACCACTCTGTGCGTGATTTGAATCTAGGACGGAGGTTCACCTTCCAGCAGGACAACGACCCCAAACACACTGCTAAAGCAACACTTGAGTGGTTTATGGGAAATATGTAAATGTGTTGGAATGGCCTAGTCAAAGCCCAGACCTCAATCCAATAAAAAATCTGTGGTCAGCCTTAAAGATTGCTGTTCACAAGTAGTGATGTACCGAACGGTTCGCCGGCGAACGGTTCCTGGCGAACATAGCATGTTCGCGTTCGCCACGGCGTGCGAACATATGCGCGGTTCGACCCGCCCCCTATTCGTCATCATTGAGTAAACTTTGACCCTGTACCTCACAGTCAGCAGACACATTCCAGCCAATTAGCAGCACAGCCTCCCTAGCAGACCCTCCCATCTACTGGACAGCATCCATTTTAGATTCATTCTCAAGCTGCATGCTTAGTAAGAGGAGGGAAAGTGTAGCTGCTGTTCATAAGATAGGGAAAAGCATAGCTAGGTTAGGGATAAGGGTATGCTTTTTTTGGGTTTTTTTTTTCTATCTAATGTAAATGCACTTAGTTGTCTGCCACTGCTGCCAGCTTCTGTGTCAGGCTCACAGTGCCCATTTCCCCAGTCAGTGCACCAATTACATCTGGTGTCACAATAGCTTGGATTTAAAAACAAAAAACTTTTTTCACTGTTATAGATTGAATAGCAGTCAGT